CATACATACATACATACATACATACATACATACATACATACATACATGTTATTGTATGTGTGCTTACCTGAGATACACACAAAACTACTAAAAATGAGACGGGAGACAGCCGGAGTCGGAAGGTTTGGCTCCTTTGGCGTAACTCCCTGCTTCCTTACACGTGTTCGAGGTTGGGACACTTGTGTAGATTTTCTGGGGAACTCCCAGCACCACAAAGTACGTACCCTTTCAACTCATTCTGTGGTGCCGTCGTGTTGTGAGGTAAGATCAGCACTTCTCAGCTCGCCCTGGGACTTGTTTGTGGAGTTGTAAGTCTGCAAATTTTTTCTCTCGATCGGCCACTCTTTTGGCGCGAGAGTGCCAGCGGAGTCGGAGTCGCTGCCTTTTATTGGGCGAGATTGACGGTGGCCCTCTTCGATGTGCTCGTATGGTGCTATTTGTACGCAACGGTGTGGGTGACCTGGTTGAAAGCTGCTCGGGTGATCTTTGATTTCCCCTGTGGGCCAACCCCTTTTTGGAGGAAGATTTCTTCTTCCCGGCTCCTCATATGCAAATCCAAGGTGAGTTTTGCACAGGCGCCATGCAGCTTTTGGTTATGGCTGATTCCCTTCCGCATGACAGCCCTGTGTGCCAGTGGCGTGGGTGTTTTCATGTCGACGGTGGTGCCGAAGCAGAGCACCACGCTCGCCACGACGGTGCTCTTGCTGGTCATGGGCGGAGCTCTCAGCGATCCGGAGAGTATCGCGGAGTCCGAGGGTCTTGGCAGTGCACTGGCGTTTCTTTCTCCGTTCACATGGACGGCGGGTGAGAACTACCTGGCAGTGATTGAGGTGAGCGGTGGAGAGGAGGCCGTGGACTTCTTTGCAATCCCCATCATGGAGGGATACCAGAAGATCTTGCAATGTTTAGGGGGAAGTGCTTTGGGCTACCTGCACTCTGCTTCGATTTTCTGTAGCATTTTTGGAGTCATTCTGTTGATGTTTGGGTACTTTGGGCTTCGCTTTGTTCATCGTGGCAAGCAGGCATAAGGAATCCACACAGTTTATTTGGCAAGCAAAAGCTTGCCGTAGCTTCTCCTGCGAGTGGCCCATTCCGGAATGATGTCCCATGTGCGTGCGCACGTGTGCAGCAATAGTTTGCACCACTTCCCCAGGAATTCGAATTCATTTTCCCGTTGTAGAGCTTTTTGGCTGTACTATGATGAGGATATTCTTCTTCGGATGTGCGGCACACTGCATTGGTTGGGAGTTTTCTGTCTCTTTCAAGACAAGTCAGCAGAGTCCTTTGAATCGATCAATGAGGGACAAAAAGGAGGTCAGGGCCCCGGTCCATAAGGGGAAAAGAAAGGGGTACATGGTACATGGCCTACATCTACTCCAGAAACCTCCCAAACCTAGTAGTTTAAGAGAAAACCTACAGGAAAACCATATAGGGGTAAACACCATGGTGTTAGCAAATGCAATGATTTCTATGATTTTCTGCAGCTACTCTCTCCCTATCCTTCGCCAGGAGTCTCGAGACGGGCAGAGGCTGAGTCTTTGAGGGGATGGTGCGTGGGTGCGTACGTGCGTGGGTGGGTGTGTGTGTGTGTGTGGGTGTGTGTCAGAAGGGGTAAGCGGTTGCTACATTGGTGAGCGCACAGGTTGCTCGACGAACATTAGATGCGCATGACATGCCTGTTTGAGGCATCCCGAAAGCCACCTTGAGAAGTTGATCGCCCTGGAATGGAGAAGCCTCAAAGGCCATGGCGCATGCGGAAGATGTGTGGAAGACAGAAAGCTTGAAGGTGTTTATGCTAAATAAACATTTTGCAAACAAGCCCTTGCTCTGACATGTGAGGGCCTGGCCTAGCAGAGGAGCTTTGTCGCTTTGTGTGAGATTATGTTCAGCATAGTGTTCAGCATGTTTGCTGTCCGTATGCCGTAGAAGTGGCCCAAGAAGAACATATACTGGCACACCGCACCCATGTAGCCAAGCCCAGTTGAACTCGAGCCATGGTAGACCCATATTTGTGGGAGCATTGCATGCTGGGTATCACTTTGCTTGGCTATGCTGTACTGGCCATCAATGCCTTCATCAATCGACGACAGCGGTGGCAACTCTCCGAGGAATCGAAGATGATGTCGGAATGTGAAAGGTGTTCCGTGGAACTCGCCAACAGCTTGATTCCCACCTCCAAGGCGGTGCCAGAATACCGCTTCAGGGGCATGCGCTTGAAGATGTCATCAATCCGCATTGAGTTTGACAACTTGGGAGTGAAGCTGAAGTCCACTGGGCAGTGCATTGTTGAGGGTGTGAGTGGTGAATTTCGGCCCAAGAGGGTGGCAGCTATCATGGGGCCGTCTGGGGCAGGGAAGACGACCTTCATGAACGCTCTATGTGGCCGCGCCTACTATGGGACCCCTGGTTTTGCAATGTTTTGCTGAATTGAGCTGCTTGTTGCATTTTCCCATATCTTCCCTATGGTTCAATCCGCAAACCAGTGGAATAAGTTCAGGTTCCTGGACGGCACATCCCAGGACCACCACGGGTGCCATCCGCATCAATGGACAGACGAGCAGCATCGCCGAGGTGAAGCAGCTGCGTGGCTTCGTGCCACAGGACGACGCGGACAGACGATGGATTGCATCCAACAGAGGTTAAGTGACCTGAACGGATGAACCCGGTCTACCTAGTGCAGGTCACTAGTGACCTGGGTGGTTGAAGGACCCGTAACCAGTGACCTGAACGGATGGATCCAGTCTACCCTGGGGCACCTATAGGATATAGGATATTGGGGTTCTTCCGCCTCTGGATCGCATCCGTGCCGCGGATCGACGATGCGTCGAAGCGCGCGTCCCAAGCGACTCAAGGAGGTATTGTACTGTATGTCTTAAGTCTGTCCGAACTGACTCAACAAGTATCATCAGTTGTTTTTTTGCAAAGAAAGGCTTGCAACTGAACCAAACAAAATCCACTGGGCCCTGGTAGTAGGATAGACCCAAGATGTGGGTGTGTAGCGAACAAAATCAGGGGACCGGCGGGAAATAGACCAGTCTACCCAGCGAGGGGCGATCGGGGTCTTCCGATTAAAAGGCACATCCATGTTGTTTTGTTTAAATTGGAAACGTTGGCATTCGCCACTTCTTGCTGTTTATTCTTTGCTATTATATATGAACTATATATATATATATATATCTTGGGTTTGTTTGGTTTTTGCTGCGTTTACCTCTTGTTTTGTTTCTTCCTTTCTCCATGTTTCTCCAGCTTTTACTTGTGCCAAGTTTGGATTAGAGGTGAGAACTTGCGACCCTTGGAAACGCGTTACCGCTTCAAGGCAACCGCAAAGCTCCTTGTGGGCGGATCATATCTCCCGGGGTTGTCCTGCCGTAGGCCAAGCCTCATTGCTGGTTCCTAAGCTTATTTTGTGCGTATAGACAATATACATACATGCATGCATATCCACTCCACTCCCGAAAACTAACATAGACCTTGACGTCCTGGCCCCCTGGAAGAGTGTTTTCCTCTACCAGTGGTTTTCGGGGTCCATGTTAGTCTTCCAGGGTGTAATTGTAGGTGGGATTTGCCTGAACTCGATGCGCCAAACCATGATGGACCCTGCAGGATGACATTGTCCATGAGCACCTGACAGTGCGTGAGCAGCTCTACTATTCCGCCAGGCTTCGCAATGCGGAGGACACTCCGCGAGAGACTTGGACGATATATGTTGATTGCAATTTAAGAGATCAGGGAGTAAATGAGTAATATGAGAATTCCGGGACTTTGAATGCAATTCTTCAGATGTTCCACTGGGATCCCACCACAAAGGGAATCGTCCAAAAGGGCGAACAACATCACGTTCGAATCCATTGATCCGGACCCCTTGTCTTTACCAAGGAGATGATCAACAACATCGTCGAAGACGTGTTGAACGTGATGCAACTGCTGGATGTGCAGCACAGCATCGTGGGCAATGTGGAGAAGCGTGGCATCAGTGGCCGGGACATTGTTTCATATTGTTTCCCTTTTGGATCCAGACACAGTACCCTTTTGTTGACGTCCATTTGACTTTCTCCTGGCCTGAAACAAGGCCAATGCAAGTGGACAACCCCATGTTTGGTGTTCGGAAGTTCGGATCATTGTGTTTTCATGGGTCATGCCATCCACTCCGATTGTTTCAGGGAGGGTATTTGCCATGGTTATCCCCCTGACTGGGTTTTGCTGCGGGCACTCTCGAATGCGCGTGAGAGTGGGACAGAGTGAGCATATAGTGGGCATGATGGTTTTTCAATATGGCCTGGCTTGGGCAGTAGCACCTTCCTGAGATTTTCCCGGTCTCGCCGAACGACCCGCGCCGGGCGACTCGCAGCGACTCGCGGCACCAGGTGGAGGGCAACGCAAGCGTGTGAACATCGGCTTGGAGCTCGCGGCCAGGCCCACGATCTTGATGTTGGATGAGCCAACGAGCGGTCACCTGGTGCGAACCGGAGAACCGGTTGGACGGGTTGGGCTGTTCCTGTGTGTGCATGTTGATAGGGGAGAACCCCCTGATTCTGGGTGGCTGGGTGCCGCCTCTCTTTTCCGAATCTTCCAGGGGGTCGACTGACCTGGGAGGTCCCCCTGTTTGAATATATGACTTATGACATCTCATCTCATCTCCGAAACCTCGACTCACAAGAACTCTTCTCATATCATATACACCCCGAACATCCCCGAACCGGGGGGGTCCGTTGAATTGCATGAAACGTTTGAATCGTTTGAAGAGTGGATGCGCCCACCAACCCACACGGTATGTGACCGGTGGAATTGGGGCTCAAGAAAACCAGCCAACGTAACGTGTTCTACAGCACTCCCTCTACCATGTGTTCACCGTCCAACCATCCAAACTTGGTGGTGCTGGAAGTTAAGAAGAGAGAGCCTTCAGGACATCGAACCAGTAAGCAAGACCTTTTTCCCAAAGGACAAACAAATAATAGTGGGTTGAGAATTAGGAAGCTTGGTATTGGAAATGTTTAATGTGTTGATGGACTCCCTAACTTTTCAGGACATTTTGGGGTCTAAAGATGCTTCAACGATCCTCAAAGTACATTGAAACTCCGAAACCACTGTAACTCCCCAAAGATTTGCCCAGGATTGGATGCCAGCACTGCGCTCGAGATCATTCGCTCCGTGAAGCGACTCACAGCCATAGGCGCGGCGGGACGCGAGCCACGAGCCCGGCGTCGCGGCGTTTTCCGAGCGGTGAGAAAAAACGCTCACGTCCCAATCCTGAAATGACTCGAATTTTGTTACAAAGTGTTACAATTGAATACAATTGAGCCTGACAGGAGTAAACATACTGGCAACTCTTCTGCATGATGATTTCTTGTTGTGTGTGTGCGGGATTTGTATCTATCCCTTAATTAAAGAAAGCAAAGAGCTGTGTTTGATGGTTGTCCATATTATCCATGCAGGCATGACTGTGGTGATGGTGGTGCACCAGCCTCGCTACTCGCTCTTCACTCTCTTCGATGATTTGCTTCTTCTTGGTTTGGGTGGCCGAACTGTCTACTTGGGCAAAAGCGAGGGGGCTCTTCCATACTTCCGCCGCTCGACCTGAACTGGATGCCGTTTGAGACATGCTGAATTTCTTGTAGCAACTGTAGGGCAGGGCTTTGACCACCCTTGGCGACTGGGAGCCGGATGTTGGCCGCGGACCAAAGCAGGGAGCGGTTCATAGCAGGGCGTTCACGCCATTGCTGTATGATTTCAACGGGTTTTGACCGGCAATAAGGGGACGACGTGTTACAACACAACCGCTGGGCCACTGGGCAATCAAAATGGAAACTCAGTGGTGTGCCCTCAACTCTAAGCCTCTAAGCTAATTACTTTGCAGTGACTCTGAGTGCTACCTAAACGATGCCTTCACCCATCCTCACCGCGTGTAACCGCACCAGATGCCCCAGTGATATAACCGCACCATCGCAAGTGATAGACTTGCTTCCAGGAAACTTGGGCTTCCAGATGCCCCAGCACGAGAATCCGGCCGATTGGTTTATGGATGTGATTTCAGGCAGGGTGAGGAACGAAAAGGATCCGGACTTACAGCCGAGACAGTTGGCAGATGCATGGGCTGAGTTAATCACCGTCATGCCCGAGGAGTTAGAGTTGGGCCATGACACTTCTGAGGGCCAGCACGACAGCTTCGCATTCACGAAGGCTTTGAATGGCAAACTGTCTAGTGCAGGATACGAGGACGTTGATGAGTTGAGCCAAGAGCAGTTCCTCAACTTCTTGGACACCATGCAGATCAAGAGGCCTTCCGAGGCTTCTTGGGCACGTCTCATGGAACGAATGGGATTTGAAGATGGCTTCATCAGTCGACAGAAGCTGGTCTTTTTCCTGCTGGGTTTGAGAGGTTCTTTCTCCCAAGAACCTGGCACTCGAGGCATTGGGGATTTCATTTCCTCGGCCTCAGAATCTTCCAAAGAAACCTCTGTGAGCGGGATCCCCACGGGGAAGAAGCTCGGACGCCGCGGGCGCTTTCTCATTCAGTACCCCATCTTGCTTCACCAAAATAGCATCCGCTGGGCAAGGGATTGGAAACACAAGCTCATCAGCACATGTCTCATCATGTTCGCAGCCGCCGTGTTTGGAGCTCCGTGTCAAGACAAGCTGATCCCAGAAAACATCCTATGCCCGCTCAAGATCAACATCTCCCATTTGCCCATCGGCACCTTGAGCAGCATAGCATGTCTCCACATCTTCGGTTCCGATCGGCCGTTGTTTTGGCGTGAGAGTGCCAGTGGAGTGGGCGTGACCGCCTTCTATCTGGCCCGCCTGACGGTGTCTTTGTTTGATGTGCTCATGTGGTCCTACTTGCACACAGCTGTTTGGATGCTGTTCTCACAGGCACCCTGCAGCTTTTGGATGTGGCTGATTGCCTTTCGCATGACCGCCATGTGTGCGAGTGGAGTGGGCATTTTTATGTCCACACTGGTGCCAAAACAGAATTCCACTCTCGCAACTGCCGTGGTGATTTTGGTCATGGGCGGAGCAATGAGTGAACCCCAAGTGATTGCTGACGCTGAAGGTTTGAGTAGTGCACTGGCCTTTGTCTCTCCATTTACTTGGACTGCGGGACAGAACTACCTGGCCCTTATTGACACAAGTGGTGGAGAAGAGGCCGTAGATTTCTATGCCGTCATGATCATGGAAGGCTACCAGAAAATATTGTTATGCTTAGGGGGAAGGAATTTGGGGTACCTGACTTTGACGTACATTTTCTGTAGTGTCTTTGCATTTCTTGCACTGTTTTTTGGATACCTTGGGCTTCGTTTCTTTCATCGTGGTAAACAGGCATGAGAGGAACATCCGCAGCAAGACAAGAGATTTGTCGCAGCTGTGCCTCCGCTAAAATTGCAGTGCCAAGCCACTGGATGAAGCCTGCCCAAGCGTGCCAGCCGGCCAATAGACCCCGCGAAGATCATCCATTTAGAATCATTTAGACCCAACCAGATCCAGCCAGCTTCTACTTTCTGCCACTAGGTCACTAGCTTTGGACCTATTGGCCGACTAGTATTGGTATAGGCAGCCACCGAAGTTTCCACCAATAGATCGTGATGTCACACGGTTTCCACCGATCGAATCAGCTTGTACAATCTGCATGGCGCGAGGGCATGCTGGCTCGTGCGACGTCGCAAAAACCCTGGGCTCGTGCTCGGACGTGGCGGCAACAGCGGCGCTGTGAGCCATGTGGCTGTTGCACGATGCAACTTTAGTGATGTTTTCAATAGTCAATAGTCTACCGCACGTTTTAAACGTTTCTGAGTTATATATTGACAGGTTAGCGGTGAATTGTTGGGATCACGCCGAATCCATTGCAGTTAATGTTCTACCATTCCCAAGTATAGGCATGATGTGCTCAAAGCATGGTGGCCCCCATGCCGTTGCTTTTGAGCGACCAAATTCACCACAAATGACATCAACGGGCGCCGCGTTTGATTGAGCACTGTGAGGTCTCTTCCAGCTGCAGACTCTGGAAAAGCTGGTGCACAGAGAGCGGGGAAAAAAGAGAAAAAGAGGCCATCGCTCCTAGGGTGGAGGCCATTGCCCATGGAGCATTCAACCGTTGGGAGCTGCGCTACGGAGCTTCGGCGCAGTGGCTGGGTAGGGGCGACCTGCTGAGTCACTGGATAGAGCCGAAAAAGTTCGATCTCTTTTGCCATGAGAATGGGCACGAGATATACAGTCAGTATATATATATATAATTATATTATATAATCATGGTGTAATCATGCAGTCGCTGATGGCACAGCTCCGGCTCGGTGCCGCTGTAGCGTTTGGGGCTCAGATTGGGAATCGGCCGCTCAAGCAGTCGTGTAAAGCGGCCCGAGGGCAGCCGATGGCCTTGAACGGCACCTGGTCGTGAAAAGAACGAACGAAGTGACCGTTCATCTGTCGGTTTGGCCGAAAAAACCGGTCGGTAAAGCAGCAAAAAAAGAACAATGATGCAATTTTTTCCATACCAAATCCCATGGGTTGTGCTGCTTGTGGTTGCGCAAAGATCCAGGGGGCGGCCCAATCAAAGCCATTCTAAAATCTTTTTGAATAGCCCTGGAAGTCAAAGAAATGTCAAGGAAGAATGATCTTTAGGTGACCCAAAAGGATGTGTCCTTCACATTTCGGCGATGCCACGTGTGGTCTTCATAGAGTCGACTCGACTTCTAGAGATTACTACAAAAAGGTGACCTTGTGTGGTGGACCTGCTGGTGTCACCTGACCTCCTGGGACCGTGTCCGAATCCCCCCGCCATGCGCCCAGTACGTGCCCCCCTCGAAGCTGGCACCCGGCTTGGGCAAGCTTGGGCAAGCAGGGGGTGTCCCGCAACCAGTAACAGTCAGTGAAAGGTGATCAAAGGCCTTTATGAACCATCATCCATTGTTACTGGGGGGGACGCTCTATGTACCCAAGAGTTGTGTAGTCCCAAGTCAGTCATGCCCTGAAAAGGACATCAACCACCAGGTAAATTATGACGTCGATGCTCAGACATCTTTTGAGCTGTCTAAGTAGGCTTTAAGGTCACCTAATGAAATGGCTTGTTAGAATTAGAAGGCCACCAGCCGACTGAGAAGGACACGCACAGAATGACATAGGATGAAAACAGCAACACTCCTGTCATACACGTACATTTGAGCATGTTCATTCAAATATGTTCAAATACTACATCTGAGACATGAAGACGGCCCAGAGTTTTGGGGCTGAAGGTGAAAAGGTGTCACCTCTATTTGGTGCTGGGCGGACCGCACCGGACATCCAGCACTGCACGGGTCGGGACTAGGCCGGCTCCAAAAGAGCCTTTGGCAAATCTCATGGAGAGGGTGATGGGGAGAGAGAGAGAGAGAACGAACGAACGAACGAACGAACACCTTCATATATCATCCCCAGACACTCCATCCCATAGGCTCCATGTATGCAATATATGCCTACGTTAACCCCCCAAACCACCCCAATGTAGGCATATATGGCATATATGGAGCGTCTGGGCATGGGACTGCCATAGGACTGCTGATCCATTGACCCCCCTGGCACCACCACCACCCCGAACGGCCGTTTTGAAGGCAGTCCGTCCTGGCAGTCCCAGACTGGTCGTGGGACTGGGATCCATTCCCAGCCGTTTCCCTTCGACGCCGCCGGTCCCAGGCGGAGGCTTTGGGCCACTTTGGGAGCCACTCAAGGTGACCGTCGAAGGCCCCGAGTTTCGACAGCGGCCAGCATTGGGGTGGTGGTTTTCTTCAGTCTCTAACGTTTGGTGGGGCAAAGATGGGTATAGTGGTTTTCAGATCAGTTGATGGTACAAGTAGAGGGGTAACCATATATGGTACAAGTTATAATGGTAGGGTATAGGGTGCAGAGGGTATAGGGTGCAGAGGGTATAGGGTGTAGATGGCACAACTTACCCCAAGTTTGGTGGTTGATATGGACCCCCATCTAAAAAGACCTCGTGGGGGTTGCGCCATCTACTCTGAAACTACTGTAGTTCTATGGGTGTGACATGACCTCTTAGTCACTAGTCCAATTCCTATCCTTGACCACATCCTTTGTGGAGACGTTTCCGTTTGTTGTGTCCAGACGACGTTCTTCCAGTGCAGGATTGAGGACAGCCAAATGTTGGAGATCCATCGCCGCGTTGCCGATCGAAACTGGCTCCATGTTCGATTTCTCCATGTTTGGCACGTGCGGCGCCCACAATGTTGACTGATAAGGTACGTAAAACGGCACCCAAATTCGATGTAGCAAATACATTTTGTAGGGGTGGATGGTTTGATCGACCGTCTGCATTACACTTGGGACAAGCACGTTGGCATGACTCTCCAACGGGTGTTTAGCGAGAGGAACTGACATACTCTAACAGACGTTGGGGCCAATATGCCACACCCAGACACTCCATGGGAGTGCCATATTTACTGATCAGTTGGGGGTAGTTGATATATGTTCATATATATATATATTCTTTATACTATACATATATATATATAGATATTGAGAATGTAATTGGACATATAATTCATATTCATATATAATATATATGATATATGATCTATACCTACCGTCCTGCAGAGGACTGGACCACCTGGACCTTGAGAACCTTTGGGGGTAGATGAGTCGAACTGGGATGGACCGAACCATCGCATGTTGAACTGACCTGGTGAATCCGTACACCTTTTTATGTGGATCAGGCGATTTGTTAGTTCTCCATATGTCCTCTATGGTTCAATCCCCTTCTGATAAATGTAGGTGTTTTTTTCCCCAGTTCCTTCCACAAATCCAAGGGAGTGAGTTCCGGGCTGAGTTCAGAGCGAGTTCCGACCATCTGGTGTTCCGCCAGCTCTCCACGGCCAGATGTTGGAGTCACCGTCGAGTCACGAGGAGATGTGTAGAGCTCAGCCGACCGGCGCCGACCGGCGTTTCTTTGGTTCTTCTCCCTCCGAATGGGCGGTCAGCAAGAGAAGAGAAGAACATACAATCTAGAAGAGAAGACATGGATCTGACCGTTTGCATGACAATGGATCTTCCGAACGTCCGTGGTGATGGATTCAGGCATGCCAGCTCCAGAAGATCCATGAAGATCCAGGATTTCTATGAACCGACAATGAAACCATGTATAAATCACATTTTCTTTGCAAGCCAGTCAGCTAAGCAGTGCCACAAAGGCTTTCTAAAAAACAAGGAAACCAAAGAAACATCATCGCTATGCGGCTATGCTGCAGCGCTTGCCACCGCGGTTTCTGCTGAGGCTCTCAGCCCCATTGGCCCACCAGCCTGGACCTTGGAGCCGTCACTCCGTCGGTTGCCACGAGCTCCTGGCCACCGGAGCGAGTGGAGCTCGTGTCGCATGCAACAGTGGATTGTTTCTCACATGGTGTAACATGGGTTTAACGTGTGTGCATATATGTATACTAGTATATGTATATTGAATCATACTATATCATACCCGCCTATATTTACATGTACTGTATACAAAACATGCATCCAGTCCGTAATGTTTTGGGATTAGATGTTCAGCATTTTAGCTTTGGTTGGCTTGTGCAACATGTGCATTAACACGAACTATCTCATATCGTTTCCATTTCAAGAACGACACCACATCCACTGTTTTCTTTGACTTTTTTGTTGCCAACCTCCTCCTGCTTGGCCCGGCGCAGGCCACAAAGCTGAGCGAGGAGGACAAGGCGAGCGCCAAAAAACCCGGCGCGTTTGGACAACGAGCCGTGTTGGTTGGGCCCAAAGCTTCCGAATTGGGAGGGACATGTTAAAGCCCGACGGACTTTCGAGGAGAGTGGCGATCGGGTTCAGTGGCGACCTGGGATGTGTGTGTGTGCTGGTGCTTGTTGGGATGTGACCTGGGCTTCGACCTGGAAGATGGTTCTGTGAACTTCTGTGTGGTGCCAGTTCCTGGGGCCGTGGGACCGGCAGTCTGACTGCGGGGGGTTTGGGGCCAGGTCCCCATGCTGGAGAAACGCATCGCTGTGCTGGAAGAGGAGCAGCCGCGCAGCTGGTGACGCACTGGATGCTGTTTATGACTGGTATTTGTCCCAAAGGTGGACATCAACCAACATACCCACCCTAAAAAGCACGAGTATGTCATATGATGCCCTATGGTAGGACTAGAAGGGGTGCCCAGTGGAGATCCACAAAGATTGGGTCCTGGTTGAGTCCGAGGAGAATCGCAGACTTCGTGCCGCCTTGGGCACACTCCGTGAGATTGGCAGCAGCCAGAGCCTGAGGGCCAGCGCTGGAAGAGGTCCTTGGATGCTCCCAGGTTGGCCTTAGCAACGTCTAAGTTTCTTAAATCACGAGTCAACCACATGTGGAAATACCATGAAGTCAAGACACCCCGTGCTACAGGGAACTTAGGTGTTTCACCTGTGGACCTTCTGTTCAACGACATGCCCCCCCCCAAAAAAAAAAGGCATATAGATCAGACTAGGACGAAGAAAACGAAAACAACAGCGATCAGATTTGGGACCTAAAGTGGTCCACCTCGCATGGAAGATTGCTGGAATGGAAGTGCCGCACTGAGCCGGACCAGAAGCAACAGGAAAATGGTTGGTGCCAGTGCACGAATGACAACTGAGCACCATTTCTGCATGAAACACAGAAACATGATGCAACATGATAAAGGGCAAAACAACCGATTAAACAGCAAACACATTCAAACACTGTGTTTTGCACGCCTTATGTGGCATTTGTATTGGGCCTTTGCTTCAGCCAAGCTTCTATGATTGGTTGACATTCATGGCACCAACAGGTGGTTTTTGGACCCTTATTCCTTTGGCTATTTATAGACACTTCTTCGAAGGTCCTGGCAGTCAGACCGCTTTTGTGATTCTCAGCTCTTTGGTACACCGCGCAGTCCGCGACGCCAGTGTCCTGTATCGTCCAGGTGTCCTGCGCGGATTGGCGGCCAATCCACAAGAGGCGCGGAGACGTCCCCAGTCAAAGCTGGGAAAAGAGCGCTACTCTCGTAGCGCCCGAGACATGCCACACCAAGTTCTACCATGTTCTACCATCCTTGGCAAGAAAGGTTTTTTTTTG